ATGTGGGTGTTTACTGTTTATTCCCGGGAATATCTGGACACTCCCGCTGTTTAGCCGGAATGTGGTAATCTGGGATCTAAACTGGTCCTGGGAAATCACTTTGGCCCACTCTCTCTCTCTCCTCCATCTCATGATGAATGGGTAGCATTTGGTAAAGGATGGTGCAGCAGTTAATGGACCATTTGAGGGGCAGAGGCTTGGAAATCAATCACCATTTAATCTGGGGACTCAACACCTCTATGAAATTCTTAGCAGTGCAGGGGGTCAATAATTCAAATGAAAATTCTAGAGAAGGTATTATGTGAGTTATTACGTGTAGGTCTTCAGCTTCCTTGCCTGGTAAAACAGTAGTTTTACCCGGAGTTTCCGGATATCGTTTGGCTTTTGGCACCGATATTAGTCCAGGCCCAGGTTAGGACTTCCCTTATACGGTCACTCCTCCATAAAGCTCACCTTCTTTCTCCAATCCTTTGCAAATATCTAGGGCAGCAGAGCACCTGCTCTAAAGGGGACTTGGCCATCCCAGATCCTAAGGTACAGTGGGAGCCTTTTCTTTAGGGCATTCAGAGATGGGGAGTGGAACATCTACACTGGTGGCTAGTTTTTCCTAGGTATGCCCAGTCTTCACAGGATTCCAGGGGATGGATGGCCCTATTAACTAGTCATTCTTTTTTTGTTTTGTTTTGTTTTTTTAGGCAATAGAGGTTAAGTGACTTGCCCAGGGTCACAAAGCTAGTTAAGTGTCAAGTGGTTGGTCTGAGGCTGGATTTGAACTCAGGTCCTCCTGACTTCAGGGCCGGTGCTCTATCCGCTGCGCCACCTAGCTGCCCCTTAACTGGTCATTCTTCACTGTAAAGAAAATGAATTCCCAGCTCCTGTTCCCCTTATCCCCATGGCAAATCAAAGCTCTGCTTTCTGGTCATTTTCGATTTTCTTCATGTGTATTGTTTTTACATTGTATATGTTTACAGATTATTCCCACTTTGTGAAAGGTCTCTTTTTAACAAAGTTAGACAGTTAAATCAAACTAATAGAGTGACCTCATCTGAAAGTACATGTAACATTTCACATCTGTAGCAACTCTATTTGAAAAAAAATAAAGATATCTATTTTTCTTCCTCCCAACTCCCACTCCACTGGAAAAAATGTCTTTTGAAGCAGAGATCTTCTCTACCTCCTATCTCTCTTTACTCTCATCCCTATTGGTCTCAATGGGGTACAGAGGCTTTAGAGTCAATAGGGTTAAATTATGCCTAAGTCATTTTTTATACCTTCCTGACCCCTGGCAATTCACTTAACCTTTGTTTACCTTAGTTTTCTTAACCAGAAAATGGGAATAATAATAGCACGTACCTTGAAGGGTTGTTGTGAAGATCCAATGAGATAATATTTGTAAAGTGCTTAGCATAATGCTTGGAGCATAGAAGGTGCTTAATAAGTGTTTATTCCCTACCCTGTTCCTTCCCTGTGAAATGAGGGAGTTAGACTAAATGGCCTCTAAGGTCCCTTTTGGCTTTAACTGTATGACCGATCCAATGGTCCTTATCGCCAACTGTCCTCCTCTTTGATTGAAATCCTTGCTCTGTTGGGTGTTCAGAATTTTTACTGAGATCTTCTGTTTTTACATTGCATTCATTTTATAATATATCCCTTGTCTCTCCACTACTCAGAAAACCACCCCTTTTAACAAAAAAGGGGAAAAAAACCCAGTTCAGCCAAATTAATCAACACATCATCCCATCAGATAACATGGGCAACGTTCCCGTGCATAGTCCTCCCTCTGGCAAAAAAAAGGGAGGGGGAGGGATGCATTCTCGTTTTTCTTCCCTGCTCAATGTCATTCTACAGTGTTCAGTTTTGGTTAGGTGTTTGTTTTTCCATTTACATTGTTGCATTCATTATGTGTACATACATACATATATATAATATTATATATATACACACACATATATATGTATATGTAATTTTCCTAGTTCTGCCTAGATCCATTCCATAAATAATAGACACTGAAGTCAAGATTTCTTTTAGCTTTCATTCAAGGTTCTTTGGCTGCATGGGGTATTCAAGGAGACACCTCATACCTCTGATATCAGGGCTTACTGAGCCCTTTTCAGGGCTACCCATCCCTTATAACCTTTGGTAGCCACCTATCACCTACCGCTCCAAGAAACAGTAGTAGGAACACTCCAGTAAACCATCTCAGCAGACAGGCTAAATCAAGTTGAAAGTGACTGGCGGGCCTCAAAACTGGTGATGTGTTGGTGATGGGGGATGTCTACCCCCAAGCATGTGAAGACTTCCCCCAGCAGAATGGGTGAATGAGAACAAGTTCTTCCAATGGCTATGAAGGCAGCTGAAGCACGTGCTGTGGAGCACTTACTAGACATCAAAGAGGTCACCCACTGCCTCCTGGGCCACTGCCAGTCATCTTGACTTTTGTCCTGCCATTGAACTTCAATGACTCTAGAAGAGAGTGACTTTGTGCAACTCTGCCTTGCTTAGATCCAATCCACACACCCTGTGACATCATTGGTTCTCTTCGAAAATGAAGGACAAGCAAAAACAAGAGCGACAACAAGGTTCTTGAATGACTGAGAAGAAGGGGAAGGAGAGAAATCGGTTTCTTCTGTCTGCAAGGGGGCAACTCTCTGGCAGCAGATAGTAAGGGGAGTTGAAATCTAGGCCACAACAGGCCATGCCCTGGAGCTCTGAGGGGATATGATGGATAGATAACCAGTCCCCAATTTACACCCACATTCTAAGGCTTCTCTGCAACCAGTAAGACCAGCAGAAATATGAGACTGCGCTCAGATTCTTAAAATCTAGTCAATATCTCAGACTCTCAGATTCCTCAAGAGTCTGGCTAATATGGTGGATCTTTAATAAACCTTGTCTTTGGATGAAAAAAAAAAAAGAAATAGACTAGGCTGAGGGAAGGTAGACTATATATAGCTGCCCAAATGGAGTCTATGGAATCCTATACAGGTTCCAGAAGATTAAGGAAGACTTAATTCATATAACATGGTCACATATGGGAAAGAGTATAGATATGGTGCCAAAGGGCCTGCATTAGTGGGGTTCTGCCACTTATTAGATATGTGGTATTAGGTTAATTGCTTAACCTCTGTGGTCCTCAGTTTTCTCATCTGAAAAACAAGGGTAACTAGGTAACCTCTAAGAACCCTTTCAATTTGCAATCTATGTTCCTATAATCACCCTGTAATACACCTGCTGGGAGAGGCAAAGAGAAACATTGGACTTTGGGTTGCATTGATCCTGTCCAGGAAAGATTGTCGGCCTGTCCTGATTCAAAGCCTTCTAAAGATAACACAATCAGGTATTTTTATGTGGAAATCTAACTCCCAAAAGAGGTGGCAGATAGTGTACCCAGTGGCAGTGTTCCTTTTGTGACACAAGTCCTGTGAAACTGTGTGCCCATATATATAAAACACCTGAATTGGGCAGGAAAGAATGTTGTGGTTAGACTGGAATGGAATGGGAGAGGGCCTATGGGAGCCCAGTGGATGGATTTAGAGACAGACTCATATATGCCTCCCACCACAACTCACTTGGGCAAGAGGATCTCCTGGTCCCCTTATCAGCTTGAGGAATGGTTCCCTTTACCTCTAAGATCAAATATAAATTTCCCAGTTTGTCAGTTAAAGCTCTTCATAACCTAGTGTCTTCTTACCTTTCCAGTTTACTTACATCTTACACCCTTCCCTTATTCCTACAGTTAGAAAAAATGGCCTATTTGCTGTTCATTACACTTGGCATGTCATTTCCTCTCTCCTATCTTTAGCACTGGCTTTCTTCCGTACTTGGAATGCTCTTCCTGCTCACCTTTGCCTCTTGAAAGCCCCAAGCTCACTGAGTTTAACAAATACCATTTATTTCAGGAGGCCTTTCCTTATCCCCTCAGCTGTAAGAGCCTTCCCACCACCCGCTGAGATCACTTTGTATTTGATCGGGATGTGTCAAATATACATCTTTACATGTTCATGTGGTCTTCTCCATCAGATTGAAAGGTCCTTGAGAATGTATTGAAGATACATCTTTGTATGCCCAGCACTTACCCCAGTGTCTGGCACATAGTGAGTACTTAACCAACATTGCTGATTGTTTGTACACTAGTGTGGACAAATTTTAGTTTTCAAAGCAACACCTGATTTGGGATTAGAACAATTTTTACCTGTAAGTTTATTTATGGGGCAAAATATGCCAGATGTCCTCGTCTGTTTTTCTCTGCCCTCTTCTCCTCCAATATGTACATTGCTTACCCTTCTATAAAATAAATACTCAAAAAAAAAGCCTGCAAACTTCAGAGGGAGTTGGTTCCCTCAATCCAGATTTCCATCCTTAGCAAGTCAGAGGACCTCTTTGTTAAAGTGTTCTGCCACATAGCCAAGCGATAGCATACCTGCAACTGGGAATGACTGTACAGTTGAGAATATACCTATTCCTACCTTGAATTTTCTTGCTTTATGAAATAATTCACTGTACTGAAATTCCAGCAGTCAGTGCTGCTATAATTTCTTTTACCAAAACCCTTAAACCCAGGTAGAGTTGGCTGAACCATCTCAGCAGGTGGGTGGGATAGTTTTCTTTCTATTTTGAGGGAATGTTTGATTTCTATTAGAATTGTTTTTTTCACTTGTGCATGGTTCCCATTGTTTTTGTTTTCCCCCTGCAGTTCGGGGGCTCTCACTGGAGGGAAAGATCTCTCATCCCATATTTTAGGCATTACCTTAGCTTATCTGGCAGTGTGATCATCCAGGGTTTAAGATGAAAGAAATGATCTGCCTAGCACTTGGAGAGCAGATAATCCTGCCTGATGGCTCCACATTCTCTGATGCAGTCACATGTCTATCTTCTGGGATTGTATAAATATCCTCCCAGCTATGAGGTTAAAGATTAAATAGCTTGTGACACCAGTCCAAGAGACTCTGCTCTGAGTTGGAGGGTAAGATCGTTATCCCCACCCATCCATCAGTCTCTTATAGAGAACATGCCAGTGTTGTTCAACTACTTTAGTTGTGGAGAAAAGGAAGAAAGGAGAGGAATTGTGATTCACAGTAAAAGCCTGTGCACAAACGAGGAATCATGTTGGAAGAATTCTGCAATTCTACCTTCTGGGTAAGCACTTTGCCTTTTTATCTTTACTGAAGACCCTTCTCTCACGCTCAGGACAAGTGGCTGATTAGCCCAAGATGACTCTCAGAAGGTCTAGGAAAGTTCGTCTTTCTCTTGGTTTGTGGAGGTTGTTTTTTTTGAGTCAAGGCATTGCCCGTCCAAGATGTTCCAGAGGGAATGATGATAATGACTTGAAAAGGCATAGCACATTCATCCTCTATCACCCGTTCATACTTTAGCATGGATTAGTTAATCAAATTGGAATCATAGACTCTTGGAAGGGACCTTAGAAGTCATGAGTCTAAACCCCTCCTTGAGATTTTGATAGGAAGAAGAATTGGCTTTTGGGAGGTAAAGAGGAGGAATTTGATTTTAGGCATGTTGAGACTGAAGGGTCAGTGAGAATGTCCAAGTAGAAAGATTCAGTTATTAAGTCAATTAAGGGACTAGAACACTGGAGAAAAGAGAGGAGTATAGAGGTAGATCTGGGAATAACTACATCAAGATGATGATAGTTGAACCATGAAAAAGGCTGAGTTCTCTTGGGAAGAAAGGATAGTGAGAGAAGAACAGAGAGGCTGAAGACAAACTGGATAAGCTCAAATTTAAGGAGCACAATGAGGAAGAGGAGATAGGAGTGGTCAAAGAAGTAGGATGTAAACCAGAGTAATATAGAATATAGATAAGGGAGAAAGTGGGGAATTTTAAAGGAGAGGTGGTCTGTACAGTGTCAAAAGCTGCAGGGAATTAAAAAATGATGACTGAAAGGAATTCACTAAATTGGGTGATTAAGAATAATTTCAGTAGAATGGAGGTGACTGGGAGGAGGAGAAGAAATTGTAGGGGGTAGTTAAGGCATGATTGGAAAGGAACCTACGTTTTTTTTCCTATTTTTTCCTTTCCTTTCCTTTCCTTTTTTTCCATCTGAGGAGGTAGAGTAGAAGCAGATAACCTAACTATTTATTTAGAAGCTCGTCAGTAAAATGAAGGAGAGAAATAGGATGGTACTTTGATGGGCTAACAGTCAAATTAAATCATTTTTCACAATGAGAAGAGCTGAATGTTTGAAATCTGAGAAGAGGGAGCCAGTAGGCAGGAAGGTATGGAAATCATTAGAGATAGGGGATAATTGACAGAGGAGGTAGGAGGGGAATGGGGTCGAAAGACACAGATGGAGACATTAAGTTTCCAAAGGCAGAGGGACATTTCTCCTAAGGAAGTAAGGAAGATAGAATGCTAGTAGAGACAGACATTCATAGATTGCTTATTGGTTATATGTCAGTGCTGAGAGGAAAAGGATATTGAATGCAGAATTCACGGCGGGAAAAGTAATTTTGAGATAGCTATTGTGATGAGTGTACTAGGGAATCAGTAAGACAGGAAAAAAATGGATTACCAAGCATCAGTATATTATTCTTCCTTTTTTCCTCTCAAAACTTTTGGCCAGCACTAGTCTAGAAGAGGATAATGGCTTAACACTATAGTGCATTTATTCCAAAAGGATTTTTGTTTGTCATTGTGTATACTACATTATCCTATTTAGGACCCAACTAGCCATTAAATAATTCTAGATTTGATTTGTGTTTGAGAAGAAGGCTCAGAACAATCTTCATTCAGGCATGATATCAGAAAGATAGTTCTAATATTTTAAGGAATAGGAAAAAGGCAACCTGGCAGTTTTCTTCTTGAATGCTAAAGATACTTGAGTATATCTAAGAAATTGATTCAAAGCTTCCAGAATAAATTCCTAAACCTTGTCATTCCTAAATCTGCATAAAAACTTTTCAGCATGCCATTTGAAAAATAAATTATGATTTCTAATTTAAATGTTGAAGTTTGGTGGGGGGGGAGCTTTTTTGGGGGAAAATGAAAGCTTCTTGTGAGTCCATGATGAAAGAAAAAGGCCTACAGACTATAGGAGCATCATCCAGGATTTTTTAAAATTAAATTTTATTTTTAATTTTAAACTCTTAAACAGCAAAAAGTATTTCCATAAACACAGCAGAAGATGAAAAGAGGATTCTGTATGAAGCCATGAATCTACATTTCATGCCACTTGCTTTCTTTTCTTTTCTTTTTTTTTTTTTAAATTTCTCTATACTCTTGGGTTTTTTATTTCAAATTTCCTACTCAGCTCTGGCCTTTTTTTTTTTTTCTTTACCAGAGATGTCCAGAAGTCCTCTATTCCATTAAAGACCCATTTCCCTCCTATGAAGGATTATACTCTGGAGGTTTTCAGAGTAAATTATTCTAGGCTGTTAGACTATACCTTTTGAATGGAATATTTTTTTCTTTTTTTTTTTTTTTTTGCTTTTTTGTTTTTTTTGGTGAGGCAATCAGGATTAAATGACTTGCCCAGGGTCACACAGCTAGTAAGTATCAAGTGTCTGAGACTGATGGAATATTGTATTCTAAGATTTTCTGCCTTTAATAAGCTTCTAGATCTTGGGCAATCCTTAGTACTACCTCTTTATGGATGTTTGCAGTATTTTATCTTTGAAGTGGGAGGTTCAGATTTTTGGCTATGGCCTTTCTGGGACTTTTCCTTTAGGGGTTTCTTTTGGTGGATTGATACAAATTGCAGGTTTTTGTTAGAGTAGGTGTTGAGGGGCTGGGCAGCCTGTGTCTGCATTCAAGTAATCATCTTCTAACCAAGGTTTCAAAGGGCCTGATCTCCTATAGCTCACAGAAGTCTGTTACAGAGTTTAAAGCAATTTAACTGAGTATACAGAAACCCCAAAGAGACTTTTTTGAGAACCTTTTGGCTTTGGATAATTGTTCCATTCATACTACAAAGGTCTAACCTGCATCTTTGTGTGTGTGTGTGTGTGTGTGTCTGTATGGGGGGAGGATCTAGATCTGTAATTTCAGCAATGTGGGGAACTCCCAGTATGGGAATCCCCTCCACCAATGCAAATAGACAATTCATCTGTAATTTATAGTACCAGAGGGTTTCCTGAAAGATCAATGACTTACTTGTGGTCACAAAAATCTACCTGACTCCAAGGCTGACTACGTAAATTGCATCTTAGGTACCCAAATTTAGTGCTATATGAACATGCCTAGAATATGACACAGAGGGAAAAGAATTACTAACCTCCAAAATACTAAAAGGGGATATTCACCTTGGAAAGAAATCATGCCCATCTCCCTAAGAGCTGTATTTGGAAGTGTATCTTTTCTTAGTTATTCTCAGCACCCTCCACCCAACAGATAAAAGAGATGGAGGACAGTTGTGATCTCTGCCTCCTCACTCGCAAAGCTATTCATACATGTGGTCCTGTCAAGGAACCACTGCCATCAAGGAACTGATTTCAGACAGAGTTAATGAAATGGCAACCAAACCATGATGTGAAGGGAAAACCTGTGAATCTTCCATTTCCTAGTACAGAAGACATCACAAGGAACCATGGGTACTGAGAAGCAATGAGGCATAGAGCTATGGTGGGGAGGAATAAACCCATAGAATTTGCCCTTATTGGCATTAGACATATCATCTCAATAGAGAACCATAAACCTAGAGGAATAATAAATTATAGAACCATGACAAGAATGAACAAACCTATGAACTTTACCTTTGCTGATAGTAGACAGGTTGGTGTAACAGAAAAACACATGCAATGAGTAGCCGTTCAGATCTACCCCTTTCCTGCTACTGTGGATCACATGGAAGTCATAGGTTCTGAAGCAAGGTAGCACCCACCAGGAGAGAAAATTTTGCTTGACACTTTCCAGAAAATGGGAGGCAAGTTTATCTAATAGTAGAGTGATTCTTATATCAGCCACTCTGAACTTTTGACTGTGTTAAATTTAACCTGACCTAAATTTTAAATAATATTAACCTGAATGCTTTCAGAGAAAACTAACGGCTCTTTTGGAGAGAAACATGAGCCAGGCACTGATATTTCTAGGGTTTTTCTGGGAGAGATTTTTTTTATCAGCTTCCCCAAATTATAATTGGTTAGTTGTATCTAGTCTCCTAGTATCAGCTATCAGACTTTATTTACCCTCATTTCCTCACTTATCTTAATTACCAGTCCCAAAGGCCAATTTTGGTCAATAATAATGACAGCCGATATTTCTATAGCACTTTATGGTTCACAAAGCATTTCCCTCACAGTAATCCTTTAGACAGGGAGAAGTATCATTATCTCTATTTTACAGGTGAGGAAACCGAGGCTAAGAGAATTTCTGTAACTTGCCCACAGTGACACAATTAGTGAGTGGAACAGCCAGGACTCAAACCTTATGACTCCATTCCCAATGCCTTTTCCTGTACTCCATGCTAGTGTTCACTGGAGAAAAGCACAGAAAAATGGAAGCCTGTGATACTTGGGCTTTGATTCAGGCATTGTATTAGGAGGTAAGGGCCAGTTTAAAAAGTAGGAACCCTGGAGAAGCATTCCTGTTGGTGGCTACTACAGGATGGGGGAAGCAGCCACTAATGGAGCCCACTTCTTGGTGGCCAAGCCATCAGAGAGACATATGACTTGCTACTGTGTTTGGGAATAGGGCCTTTGGCTAGAGCAAGAAAAAATAAATGGATTTGAAGGGCTGAGTCTGCAATGACTCCCCTTAACTGAGGAGTCTCAGAAGAATCCTGATGACCTTGAATCCAGTTAGGCAAATGCCTCCCCTGGAGAGGCATCTGTAGACCTTCATGCTACTCTCAACACCAAGTTGAGGAGACAAGAGAAGACCAACTTTTGCCTCCTCCATCTGTCCACGCGGAGGAGGGATGGTTTTCCAATTGAGGGTTTTCCTGGGAATTGTTACTTCCCCTCTGGTACCTGAAGGAGGTAGCAATGATTTTGTGGGGGTGGGGAGAGAAGAAAGGAGATGAGAATGGTCACCTATGCATTTTCCTATGAGTTTTCTTGTTATATTTCCTTAATTAAATACTTTGATATTTGTTTTGCGGTTTCTGCAAAGTCTATGAAGAGATGGGGGTTAGAATGGGTGCTCAAGTCACATTTTCATAATTAAGATTACCCAAAATACAGGAAAATTCCTTCTAATCTAGTAAGAAAAGGAATGAAAATAGGTGAGAGAGCCTAGGACACCTTAGTACTAAAATTCCTTCCTGCCTAGGATTTATTCTCATAAGGACATACACAGGGTTTGGGAATTGGATCCAGAAATTAGAATAGGAGAAAGAAGCAAGGGTTGTGTTGTTCAGTCAACATCTAGTTGTGTCCAACTCTTTGTGATCCTTTTTGGGGATTTTCTTGGCAAAGATATTGGATTGGTTTGCCATCTTTCTCTAGCTCATTTTATAAATGAGGAAACTGAGGCAAACAAGATGATTCTTTTTTGGAGTTTTCTTGCAAATATAACTGTAGTGGTTTGTCATTTTACAGCTCATTTTACAGATGAGGAAACTGAGGCAAACAAGATTAAGTGACTTGCCAAAGGTCACACAGCTAGTAAGAGGCTGTATTTGAACTCAACTTCCTGACTCCAGGTCTGGCACTCTATTCACTGTGCCACCTAACTGCCCATATCATATATATCATATTACTTGCCACTTAGGTAGCAAGTATTATAGTTGAATTTCGCCTTAGATAACCAAGGGGGGAATCTCTGAAGTAAATATTCCTTTCCTCCATTTTATCTTTTTAACTTCTCAGAGTTCCTTACCCACCTATCTGCCTTAAGGTTCTAATCTTTGGTACATATTTAGGATTTTTTTCTTATTGGATGAATAAAGTATATGCAAAACCACGATACCCCACTTTTATGCATGTAAATTATTCCCATCTCTCTAGGCTGTACAATAAGAAAGTCATGCCAAACTTAGAAAACAGGGCTCTGCTTCACCCTGTATCTCTGCCACTCTGAGTTTGACTTCCAAAGTAGGGCTCTAGGGTGTAACTCACACTGTGATTAGCAAAGATTAGCAAATGAGAAGAGTTTTGTCTTATTAGGATGATTGGGAAACAGGGCTGGAGGTGAGGGACATTCACTTGGAAGTGAGTTAACCTTCAGTTGGAGGACAGGCATGTCATTTTAAAGAACTGTCTGAAGAAAAATTGGAAGATACTGTTGCGTGAAACAGATGTGCCTAACCCAGATTCTCTCTCCTTTTCATCAGAATGACTCGTTCCTGGACCGCCCAGATGCCGACTTACCTCTGTGCTTTGAGCAAACTGTTCTGGTCTGGATACCTCTGATTTTCCTTTGGCTTTTATCTCCATGGCATTTATTCAACACCTATAAATCCAGAACCAAAAAGTCTTCTTTAACCAAGCTCTACCTCACCAAGCAGGTATGGTGCTCTCACCATTTCCCCACCCTCTGTCCTCCCTTCATAGCAAAGGAGTCCAAGGAAAAAAATAAAGAAGCAATTCTCTTTACCCCATGACTCTGGTTCCTGCAGCTTCCCCACAGGATGCCAGATCTGGAGCTGGAAGGCACTTTATAGGCCGTTTAATCCAGCTCTCGAGTTTTACATCTAAGTCAAGCCCTAGCAGACCCTTGAGCTCATTCACCTCCTCACATTCCATACCCATGTCGTCCCTTCCCCAAACTGTCAGCTAACATGACCTTTTACCTGGGGAGACTGTGTGCTGTTAGACTCTGGTACAATCGATGTTAACTGAAATTAGAAGTGGTTGATCAGTAAACCTGATAAAAACTTTTTTTTTTTAAAGAGGGAGAGAGAAATAGGCTCGTTTCCAGCAAGCACTTCTGATAGATGAGACCTAGGGAATTCTACTGGCAGGGGAGAGGATGGCAGATGGGTCCATATTTCAAACCTGTTCATATTCTTCAAAGTTCTGTATCCGATTCCAACATTTCTAAACCTCCAACCAAAACAATACCTGATATTTCTATTAGACTTGGAAGTTTACAAAGTGCTTTACAAAGTACTTACAAAATACTTATTTGATCCTCAGAATAGCCTCATTATGTAGGTGTTATAGGAGCTTTAGGGTCCAAAGCTTATACTGAAGTGTTATTGTAATGCCTGTGTTACAGATCTGGTGGAAGAACCCCCAAATTGACACGAATACTTATTAGTAGTAACAAAACTAAGCAGTGACTGATTTTTTAAATTTATTCAGACATCAAACTTGAAGACAAAGGAAAAGGAGACAAAATCTGAGTAGGAGCAATAATACTGTCTTTTCTAAATAACTGGAAACACTCCACTTTGACTTCATATCACTCTTATGGTTAATTCATCAAACATTAACCATGTAGTTGATTTAATAATTAAATAGTTGATATTAAATAAATAATTAAATGATAATTAAATACTTAAACATTTGATAAAAACTGAATAGTCTTTACTGTTAGATATTTAGTTATTAAATCCATATTCCTATGATATTTTAAGACTTACTAAGTACATTTTAAAAAAATTAAGTCTTGTGAGATAAGTTAAGTACTTTTATTTTTTTCTGCATTTTGGGGGGGGGGGGGCTAGGCAATGGGGCCAAGTGACCTGCCCAGGATCACACAGCTAGTAAGTGTTATGTCTGAGGCAGTATTTGAACTCAAGTCCTCCTGAATTCAGGGCCGGTGCTCTATCCACTGTGCCACCTCGCTGCCCCAGTTGAGTACTTTTATTACAGGTGAATAAACTGAGGTTTTGAGAAGTTAAACATTTTGCCTATGATTACATAGCCAGTAAGCGTCTTACGTAGGTTCACACTCAGATCTCCTGGCTCCAGGTCCCTGTCCATTACCCCTTCTACCTACGTGACCTCTGCATATCATTCCCTGCCTTTTTCCTGTCCTCATCCCCCATAATATGTTGCCTGAGATAGCTCACTCTCTTGGGGAAATGGAAGAACCTATAGAAGATGCTGTAATCAGAAGGCAAAAAACCATAAAACCCTAGGAGAACGTCTTCGTGTATTGTATCAAGTATGGCTGAAAATCTAGAACTCAGACCATCTATAACATAGAAACTAATAGATAGAGCCGTGTGCTCTTTCTCTGTTGTCCAGGTAGTAAGTATGGCGGCTTACTTACAGCCAGGAATTCTGACCACAATGTCAATGCATCTGGTCTCCCATCGGTCCCTGCTGTGCTGAGCATAGATATACCTGGACTTTCAATGGAACAAGCAGGGACTCTGGAATAAGAGAACCCTGACAGTTCTGGCAGTCACAAACAGTGGGATCTGGGACAAATCACTCAACTTTCCTGGACCTGAGTTTCTTTATCTGAAAAAGAGGATTTTGAATTAGATGGTTTCGTACACCCTTTCCACCCTAGATACTTTATCCTTTAAATGGTATGCGCTGATGTGGTAACAAGTTTCACATACAGCTACTGTGGAGAGTTGTCCATGGCTGAGGCTTATTCCTCAGATCCTAGATTTAGAGATCATATTATCCAGTTACCTCGATTTAGAGGTGAGGGAATAGAAATCCAGACACATTGTGAGTTGGTAGGAAGTGCAAGATGTCACAGGTTGAGATTTGTAATCAGGTTGAAATGCTCATTCAATTACACTGTGCTGCAGAAAAGGAGTAGTAGTAGCTAAGCTTCAAAGACCAGGGGTTCAACTTACTAGCCTAGCTGTGTGACCCTGGGCAAGTCACTTAACCCCATTGCCTAACCAAAAACAAAACAAAACAAAACAAAGACCAAGGGTTCGAAAGGCTGTTGATAGGTATTGATAGCCCCGAGTGAGTTAGAATTAGAAATCTCTCTTTGTTGCATGAGGTCAGAGCTATTCATATGATTGTTTCCCTGGACTCCTGCCTAACAGGGAATCCAGCAGGAAATGACTCAGCTTCATATTTTCCCAGTTTTGCCCTTTGGAGCTTGACATTTCAAAATGGTTGCCCTCTATATCTGGATCATTGATTCAAAGCTGGTGGGGACCTTCAAGATTCCTTAGTCCAACCCCCAGATCTTACAGATGTAAATAAGGGATAGATGTTTACAGATGTGCAGATGGCAACTCACCTGCCTCTGTGTCCTGTTTGGACTTTGCCTGGAGATAACAGACTCCTTTGCCTTAGTTTGTCTCATCCCTCACTACAGAACTATGTACTATGTACTATGTACCACAACTGTGTACTATGCCATGCCAGATTCAATGATCCTACAGGAATTGCAGTGTACTCCATGGAAAGCTCCTGGCTGCAAGCTCTAGTCCTTTTTCCAGATAGGAATAATTATTACCACTCACTTTGATATTTTAATGGCTTCTCAATTACTTCAATATGAATACTCATCCCACCATTTCAGAGGACAGTTTATCCACATTTTCTCATCCTGTAGGACTCTCATCCATGTCCTCCCATAAATTTTCCATAAAGGATCTACCCAATACAATGAATGCTTTCTTCTCAGTCTTCTTGGATTCCCTTGCAGCTTTTGAACTGTTCATGTTTCTTTGATCTTACTCCATGATGGATCTGTCTCTGTTTCTAATTCTATATTTCCTTGATAACATTTTTTGTCACTTCTTGCGTGCAAATTATCATAGATAATATCTTGCAGTTTCTTATACCCATCTCTCTTCTAGTTTTGGGGGCAATCATAATGTCAGCTTGGGGGAGGATATATTTTCAGGAGCTGACTAGTAAATTCTTTCTATTTTCATCTTGCCTTCTGGTTCTGGGCAGTTTTCTTTTATGTTTTATTGGAATACTGTATTCAGGTTGTGTGTGTGTGTGTTTGTATATGTGTGTGTGTTATGTTGTGTTTTTGGTCTTAGTTTTCAGGGAGTTTGAAAATTATTAAATTACTCCTCTTTCCACCCATTTTCCAGTTCACTTGTTTTGTTTCCGTATTTGTCATTGTCTCATTGAATCATTGAGTTGTTTGATTCATTTATTTTTCAGGCAGTCTACCACTTGGCTCATATTTCCTGCCTTCTGTTCTTAGCTATTTTCCTTCCAATTTTTTTCCTTAAGAGCTCTAATTCATTTGAAAAAATCTCTTGCCTCATTTTTTTTCATCCACTTTTGGTGTCCTTGAGGCTGTTGTAGTCTGCTTGTACTTGTTGTGGATTATCGTCATAGCTACCATTTACATCATGCTTTAAGGTTTTTTGTTGTCCAACCCTTTGGGGTTTTCTTGACAAAGATACTGGAGTGTTTTGCCATTTCCTTCTCTGGCTCATTTTATAGGTGAGTATACTGAGGCAAACAGGATTAAGGGACTCTCCCAGGGTCAAATAGCTAATAAATGTCTGAGGCCAGATTTGAAGTCGGGAGGATGAGTCTTCCTGATTCCAGACCAGACACTATTCACTGCACCATCTAGCTGCTTTAAGGTTTGCAAAACACTTTACAAATATTTCATTTGATCCTCAAACAACTCTGCGAGGTAGGTGCTATTATAATCTCCATTTTGCAGAAAATAAGAAACTGAGATACACAGAGTAACTTGCCCAGGGTCATACAGCTACTAAGTATATTTGGCTGGATTTGAACTCAGGTCTTCTTGATTCTGGGTACAGTGCTGTATCCACTGTACTACCTAACTGCCTTATATGGAGTTATTCTCTTTCTGGATTTTCCCGCCTTGGACTTCTTTAACTCTATAGTATTGCTTCATCGTATAAGAAGTTTTCTTCTGTGTGGTTATGTCTCCAGCCTCAGTTCCTAGATTGGGACAGTATACTCGGGTCAGGTTCTGCCCTCTCTTGGATTGGGTAGTTAGGCACTCATCCTGTTCCCTCTGCTGCTGTCTCAGCCCTGATGCTGTTCTGGATGGGATGACTGGAAGCATGTCCCTCTCCTTGTGATAGGAGGTTGGGACCAGGTCCTACCCTCTGCCTCAATCCCTGGTTTCTGCCTATATATCCTGGCAGCCCAACCTGCATATTGACCTCAGCCCCATGTGCATCTCCTTCTCTCCACCCAATCACCTAAGAATTGTCCTTACCCCCTATTATGGCCCTGATGGGACCCAATGATATTGGTGATCACACTAGCTTCAGGCTTCCTGGAAGGCCCCACAGCACACATTTCCTTGGTGCCTCTACTCCCTCAATACCTCCTTGGGCAGTCACCTAAGGGGAACCAGTTAGTTTCTTGCTATGACTCTAATAGGCCAGGGTCAAGATCTTGTGGACTTTAGGTACCATTTGCCAGAAATTATGCTGGCTTTGGACACCCCTGGTACTCTACCAACCGTGGTGCCCAAAGGCTTCTGGCCATCTTTGTTCAGTGTTCAACTGAAGAGAAGAACTTACTGCTATTTCCCTCTGATTTAAATGATCATCACTTTATCTGGCTTAGCCCCCCACTCCCTTTAAAAAAAATTCTTCGTCAGAGAGTTCTTTAGGGAAAC